AAAAAAAAAAAAAAAAAAAAAAAAAGGAAAATGACAAAAATGAGCACTGAAAAAGGATAGTTTAATTCCTTTTGTCCCGCGTTTTTCATCCCCCATTTTGAATTCTCCGTTTTTCTTATTTGTGTTTTAAATTTTTTTTTTTTTTTTTGTTCTCATGATTTGGGCGGAATAGACCGCCTAGCGAAAGGTTTCGTGTAAAACTGCCATCCAAGCTGAAGTAGCCATCCCCACTGCAGTCATCGCCCCTGGCGCATCGCAACGCGGGATGGAGAACTACGAGTCGCCCTCCGAAGTTTTAAAGAATAAGGAAAAGATCAAGGCAGAAAATGACGGGAAGGAAAAAAAAGACAAACTAAAATTTATTGACATTTTTAACGACAGCAATGAGGCAGAGCACACTGATGACACAGTTGGGAATTTTTTAAAAAAAAAAAAAATAACTGAAAGTAAAAGGAAGGCAAAGAATAAAAGCATGTATATTTTGGAAGACGCACCAAATGTGTACGCCACAGATTTGGTGCCTTCCAATTTCGCTAGTTCCAGTGTAGCCGCCAACTCAGGAACCCCAGATGGGGAGAAAAACATCCTTGGGATGAACACTATCCAAGGAAGCAGGAGTGTGTTCAACAATTTAAATATATTTTCCAACGAGGAAGAGCAGAATCATGCTTACCTGGTTAACGAGATTTACCGGCTGAAGGCCGAAGTGGAAGAAGAGAAACAAAAAGGGTGCCGGACAAATGAAGAAGCAAAAATTTTGAAGGAACAAAACGACGTCCTCAGTAAGAGCATCAGTGATATGAAGAACGAAATGGAAAAACTCCAAAATATTTACAACGAGGAAGTGGTAAAAATAAAGGAGTCGTACGAGAGGCGCCTGCTAGTGTTTCAGGTCGAACTGGAGGAAAAGGAAAATTACTGTAAGAAGCAAAAAGAGGCCCACCGAGAGGAATTCGAGTCACAACTAGAGGAGTACAAGAGTATGTACCATAATGAGAAAAGGAAAAGTCAAGACAGGGAGCGACTCATCGAGGAGGCGACCGTCGAGCGGGAGAAGTTGGCAAAAGAGGCTACCATCGAGCGAGAGAAAATCATCAACGAGGCCGCCATGGAGCGAGAAAAAATCACAAAAGAGGCGGCCATGGAGCGGGACAAAATCACCAAAGAGGCCGCCGTCCAATTAGAAGAGCTCCAAAACCGTGTAGCCCAAATGACCGAACGGGAAAAAGACCTAACCCATTCCCTGAATGAAGAAAAGGAAAAAAATGAAAAAATTAAAACGGAAGCAGAAAAATACAAACAGCAAATTCTCAGCTTGAATGAAATAATTAACAAGAAAAATGAAAATATTAAAAATATGGTTAATGATATTCTTTTGGTGAAAAATGTGTATGACGAGCTAGCCAAGGAAAAGGAACTGAATGAATTAGCAAAGAAAAAATTAGTGAAAAAAATTGAAACGTACGAAAATGATTTACATTACTTAAAAAAAAACATGGAAGGATACAGAGTGAACAATGATAAATTGAGGAAGTGCAACCAGGAAATGAATGAACATGTGAGGAAAATGGAGTGTCAGATACGTAGTCTCGAGAACGAAAATGAATTTTTAAAAAAAGAAAATCTTCTTTTTAACAAAAAATTCTTGAATGTAAAAAAGGGGAAACAGATAGGGCAGTTGGACTACTTGTCCGACTCGACGCATGTCAAGGATGAGGTTCCTAGTGCAGACAGTAGTGTGGAGGGGAACAATTCCTTAGTGTCTCGCAGAGACGAGGTGCAGGAGAAGGAAGTCATGTTAATGGGACAAACGAACGAGATAAGCAAAGTGAATGATGGAAGTGGTGAAAGCAGCACTGACGGAGATAAGTGCACGAAGCGGAAAAAGAAAAAAAAAAAAAAAAAATGTTTTAAAGAAGAAAAAAAAAAATTCTGCAAAAATTGTAAAAAGGGGCGAGAAGAAGGGGGCAGCTAGCCATGGTAGAAGTGGTAATGACAGCGACACTGATAGCGACGATTACGGTGAGGACGTGGAAGGTGCCTCCTCCACCGGGGAGGATCGACCCGTAGAATCAACGTGCGCGCTGAGCGTGCTGACAACAGGTCGTGGAAAAGGGAAAGACGTCACGGAGCATAAAAGGTCCAGCATCAATGGTACCACCCGAAGAGATATGGGATCAAATGAAGAAGATGCATTGAACGAATCAAACTATTCAGACGAAGCAGAAGAACCCCACCTTAGCACGCTAAGCCAAGCAGGCAACAAACCCAACTGTGCATGCTCGTCCAAAAAGGAAGTGCACCTGTCCGATGTGAGGCAAAGAATAGGCAATTTAGTAAACGCAAAAAATCTGAAGGGAAATAATGCCATTGGACCAAATTATGAAGAGGATGAAAATGCAGGGAGCTTCAATCTCATCACTAATTTTTTGGAGAACGGTACAAAAGATGCAAAGAAAAAAAAAAAAAAAAAAGAAAAAAATAAGTGCGATTATAATAAGACAAAATTTTCTAATACCACCAGTGTGGGGAACTCCAACATGTTCAACAAAGAGCTAAGCAGCAACAGATATTTGTTCGACTTGAATCTGTATAGCTTAAAAAGGTATAATATTTTCAGCTTCAGCAATGGCCTATTCCCCAAGGAGGAAGGAGCGCATGACTTGACCAACTTGGTGCGCAAGAAAAGGAGCTGCCCCGCGCCCATGAGCCATTTGGACGGGGAGAAAAATTTTGACGTACAGAATGTACACATGAGCGCAAACAACACTTGGCGCAGCCGAACGGAAGTATTGCCTCGAGCGCTGAGGGATTTCTCCTGGCGAAGAACCAATGGAGGGGAAGAGGTAGACTCTGTTGAAGCTGCCACAGGGGCGAGGATCCTGCAAGGAGAAGTCAACTGTATAAATCACACAAACGATGACATGGAAAAAAACAAAACAATAAACTACTTCTTAGCAAACATAAAAAAGGAAAAGAAAAATTCCAACGATATTGTCATGAAGAGGAGAGAGACTCGTCTGGAGAAGCTCCTCAGTAGACAAGATTCCTCTAACAAATCTCCTCAAATGGGGAAAGAGAAAGTGGTGCGGAAGTTTCTAGGGGGGGAAGCACCCATCGAGTATGAAAAAAACGATCGTCATGCCAGTGGTATGCACAGCGGCGATGTGAGTACAGCTGATGAGTTTGAACAGCGTAGGCAGCATCACTTCAGGGGCGGTCAAAAAGACATGCAGTCCTACCTCCTAAGCAAATGCAAAGGAAAGAAGAACAACATCTACGGCCTCTTTATCATCAACGAACGGCTAAAGAGCATTTACAAAAACATAGCAAATAAGAGAAAGTCGATAAGCAACTTTCCACTGAGTGTGCCAAAGATTGAAAGTCAAAAACAGTTTAGTAGTTCCTTTAACATCATACAAGGAGGAAAGTTTCTTCCCGAGGGGGTAGAAAACGCACCAGTGATGTTCCACCTTGGTTGTAAAAAAAATGCACACGAAATGGTGCCTAATTTTGAGCATAACACAGAGTCCAACGAAGTGCATGTTGCTATACAAAATCGTCGCATGAAGGGGGACGTTCCATCCGGCGATGAAACAAACAAAATGATTTTCACCCCGGAATGTAGGTTAACAGAAGAGACGCGTAGTGGAGGCAGTTCCTTTGTCGTGTCTGGAGAAGACCACGTTCGAATGGATGAAGAACAAATTAGAAAAAATATCCTTTTGGAAAATTCAAAAAATATGAACAGGTCAGGGAAAAAAGGGGAACCCACATACACACACGAGGACAATGATGAGGAGGGAATATTTTTTAAAAAAAAAAGTTACCTCCGAAATGCTCCCTCCATTTCGGTTATGTTTGATAAGAATCAGCCACAAACAGGGGGATACCTCTCGTCAAATGAGTCCCATTCGAGAGTAGCAACAAACTGGGGAGAGGCAGACGTGCTTGTAGTGGATGGTGAAAAACCTCGTTCCATGGAATGGCATCCGTTGTACCAGGAGGGCATGGAAAAATGCGTTTCGTTCGCAAAAGTGGGCAGGCATCTGCTTCAGGAGGGAGAAGGCAAAGTTGGAAGCGGACGTCGGGGTGAAGGTCTTCCACTTCAACAACGTCTGACCCATCACGATGGACCATTTCATTACGAGAACGAACCAAGAGACAACGAAATTGCCAACCACCTCAAAGTGAATGAAGGCCCACCAAAAGGAAACCCTCGCCAAACAAACAAATGGGAAGAACAGGAAGAAGCAGTCAACAACAAGTTCAACTTAAATGATGTATTTAATTCCAATTTTAACAACTTTTTATTGTCTTATAAAAGTAAAAAAACAGAGTTCGCTGTATCTCCCTCTTCTGTCCCTTCTTCGTCACCTTCCAGAAATCGAATTTTTGAAATTTTAAAAAAAAAAAATTCGCCATATGATCACTCGCACGAAAGAAATTGTACAGAAGGTGCAAGGGAAGACTCCTACTTTGAAAATTATTTAAATGGTTTGAAGCAGCAGAGGGGTAGGGCTCGGGTGGGGAAAGACAACACAAGCGATATGTACGTTCGCCGTGTTGATAGGCAGGACCAGCAGAACAGATCCACAGATAAACATACACAAAGGGGAAGCAACAAATGGGACTGCTTGGATGAAACAGAAAAGTTCATCAAACAGGATTCTCCAAAAAAGAGTAATGTTGTTGACGATCAAAATATATTTATGCAAAACAATGACCACTCGGGAATCATGTTCGAAGGTGGAAATGAGTGTCGTGGGGACTCCAACAGAGGCAACATTAAGAAAGAGAGCGAGCGGTTTCTATTCAACAGCAACTCCATAATGAACACTGGGTCGAATCTCATTCAGGGGACGACGTATGAAAATGTTGTGAGGAGCCACATTGAGAACGCGCACTTCATCAATTTGGTTAAAAATAAAAGGCACAAGGATATCCTCTCTGGGGGGGGACAAAGCAACTCTGATCTTCGTTTGACCAATCAAGAGTATAATACATCAAATAGGAGCGATGTATTGAGCTGGAGGAAATCGCCATGAGTTTCACCACGATCACAACTCCCCGTGTTGCGTCACTTCCAAATAAGTGTAACGCTGCAACACGGGATGAGTTGATTCTTTTTCGTTTCCATTTTGACGCGACATTTGTCTGAACGTTCAGGCGAAAAGTTTCCAATTTTTGAACTTCAATTCTTTTTCCTCCTTTTTTTTTTTTATTTATATTTTTACATTTGTTTACGCGTCATATGGGCAATTGTTAACCGTGCGAATATTCCACTTATGTCTAATTTGAATTACACACATTTGACAAGTTAGCGCATTTTTTTTTTAAAAGGATGTTTCCTGTGTTTTTTCCCTGGGACTATTTTTTTTTGTTTTTTTTTTTCAAGACTGCCAATTGAGCAAGAACTTCACGAATAAGCGGGCTGTCCGCATCAGAGGAAAAAGTTGTCCTTCACCATTTGCGAGAAAAGCAGGGGGACCAGCGCTGCAACGAGGCAAAGAATGGGGGAAAAAGGGGGTAAAAATGAGGATAAATAAGGGGTAAACAAAGGCCAAGCTATTCAGGTGAACAAAAAGACCCCGCTGAGAGGCCCAACGTCGTGTAGGCCACTCCACTCAGCGCGATACCATATTTGCACTTGTACAGGGAAGCGGAAAAGGCGAGCGAGTTCAGCTGGTTGAAAAGGAAAGCCACAATGATGCAGGATCGCTCATCTCCGCGCATGCTCACATTCTGCGTGACTGCTTTTTGGACCAGCAACATGGCATTGATGAGGCAGTTCGAGCACACGCTCCTGAGGATGTCCTTTGCAGCAAAAAGGTAGTTCATCAAGGTGTACTCCTTTGCATTAATATTATGCAATACGAACGAAAAAAAAAAGGTGTAAATAACGGTGTTTTCGAAATATTTCAAATAAATTTTGTTGATAATGCTATTGTAGTTGTTCTTCTTCTTCACACACACGCTGTTATTGTCTATGCAGAATGGAGAATTAATTTTGTCAAAATAACTCTGCAGCAATGTGAGGCATTCCTGCTTGTAATAGTCCTCATTGCTCTTTTTCACAGCGTAGTAAAAATCCCACATGGATTTTCCCCCCGTCGTATGTTCCCCTTTGTGTGAAATTAAAAATTGAATGACGGGTATGTATGAATTTTGTTTTTTTTTCGTTTCATCGTCAACCAATTCGGAAGGATTAGTAGACGACTCTGCTTTACTCGTATACGTTTCGATAAAGTCCTTTTCCTTAGCATATATTTCTGCGACATTTTTTTCATTTTTCACAATTTTAAGGAGTAAGTAGGAAATAATTTCTTCCCTCTGCTGCAGATTATAAAACAGGTTTGGATTATTCACAATTTCGTGCATATGTTCGTAGGGCATAGACAAATTATGATCAGAATGTTTTATGTAGTAAAATAAAATGGAGGAATAAATTTTTTTCTTCGTGTATTCCAAATTATCGTCTTGCTCCAATTGTGCAAAAATGTATTTTATGAACTGTGCATGCTCGTCCTTATTTTCCTTTTCAATTTTGATAAAGGCGCTTTTATTTTTGTAAAATAATTCTAGTAGCCCCAACAGGGCATTTTCCTTAGAGGAGTAATTTTCGTCTTGGACGCTTTTTACCAATTTGTGAAAAAATCTGTTTTGCAAATATACAGGCAAATTGTTTAACCCTATGGACCTCACAAATTCACTTAAGACAATATGGTCCACAACTCCGATGTCGTTGACGTCGTAGTAGTTTTCATTCCTCTTGGCATAATAATTGGAGAGTGTAAACAGGAAAGTGGCCACATTGATTACACTTACCCCAAAGAAAATATTTTTAAATTTTACTTTCTTCTCCTCTCGAATAACAGTTTTTATCATATCATAATGCTCACTTTCGCTTCTCTTCGGTACGGCCTTTATGTCACTTTTGAAGCGTGAGAAGAGGACCCAACCAGGCTTTCTCTTTGGTATTGCCCTGTTCATTTTGTGACCAACTCCTCCCATTTGACGCTGCCTTGTCGGCGTTTCAGCTTGGTATTTCCCCCCTGCAAGTTGTAATAGCGGCTTCCATCGCGTTGGTCTCTGCTCGTGGGGACTGCGTGAATAATTCTTCGTCTCATAAGCGTTGGTAGATTTGCACTTGGCATGTGCTCGCAGCGTACAAATTTGTGTGCCCTTTTGTGCATATTTTTTGCAAATTCGGTTTATGTCAATTTTTTTTCTCCCCATTTTTTGCCTCCACACCATCGCGTCAATTCCTCCGCACACGCATGCTATGTACGGTGTACGGCGGGCCACCAACGCATCAACGCAGTGCTAAAAAAACATAGGGGCGTGAAAATATTAACTACATAGAGATTGGATCCAGGACTGACCATGACAGAAAATTGTGAAGCTTTTCCGATGTTACACGCTTTGCTTTTATTTTGGTGACATCGCTCCTGTGAACAGAACATCAGCGCATAGGTGAATGTACGCATAGGCACACGCACTGCCTATATAAACAGCCTGCCTGCAAAAGTCCCCCACGTGATTTCCAAAGCATGAATGCCCTCATGAAGTTTATGTACATGCCCAAAGCCCACTTCAACATTTATAATGAATATCTGAACGCCTACAGGAAGAAAATCAACCGAATCCCTTTTTACATACGGAGAACTGGTAATTATACACATACGACTGGGTGTATCGTTTTTCGTTTGTTAAGAATGAGAGGGGAACGTTCACTCAACATTGGGGGACAGCTATCACTTTCCTTCCTGGCAGTGATTTGGAGACCTCCGGTCCTAGCACCTGCGTGTATAACTTAGTCATGTGTAAGAAAAGAAATGCTGAATTGTGACGACTCGTCTTTTCCACCTTTTTTAACAGCATCCGATAATTTGCCCGTTTTTCTCAAGTACAAGAATAATAAGAACCTCGTCGTGACGGTCATTCGAAAGATAAAAGGAAACAAAGAGGTAAGCGAGTGAGTAGGTGAAACTGAGGTTTCCAATTGAATCCTTTTTGCGGCTGAAGTAGCCCCGCTCTGTGAACCTTTACACTTACAATGTGATGACAATACCTCTCATTTTAAGTGCGCCACGCACGTATTATTCGCTATGTGGGGAGTTTTTGTCCGACAGTCTATATATAACTCTTACCGATTTTATTGCCCAAGTGATGTGTGATATTTATTCCTTCCCCTAAACAATTTCAACTTGAACACCAACTTGTTCCACGCTGACAGCTTTTAAAAAGGGAGATCGAGTCCATTTGCAACAGCAACGTTATTGAGAAAACGGACTGCTGGCTAATCAAGGGGAATCATAAGAAGAAAATAAAAGACGTAATGCAAGAGTGAACTTTGCGCCTTTGCTAGTTGCACCACAACGATAGTGTGGAGATGTGGCATGGTAGCTCTTGTCCATAGGAGGTGAACAACCTGCCAACCCATTTTTTCCTTTTTTTTTTTTTTTCCTCAATTTTTACAGTATTTTAAATACATTGGCTATTGACTTGGGACGATTTTGGAGAAGAGGACGCGGGGCATTAAACTGGGCCAACAATTACCAACGCGCTCGCGCATTTTCAAGCAGTTCAGCTGACGTCAGTTCCACATAATTTAGACTTTTCTTACCAGGGGTGGGTACCATTTTGCACTTTGCCTGTCCCATGGGGGGACAAGAAATTTAAACACACAAATATATACACATGAAAAAATATATGTACGTATTTGCATTTTTTTTTATTTTTTTTTTACCTGACTGTTCATAATTTTTTTTTTTTTTTTTAAAGCACGCAAAATCTCAGAAAAGGAATTCCTTTCAGTGTGCCCTGGAAAGGTATACACATGCACGTATGCGTAAGGAGAAGAAGAAAAAAAAAAAAAAAAACAAACATTAAATGGAAGAAACACGAAGGAAACAAACACGTTTATTACCGAACGTGTTCACATGTGTATTGTGTCAGTCACTCCCGCGCTCGTACGCGCATACATACATGTAAATATATATAATACATGCCGTGGTTGACGCACGTTTTACCCCTCAGTTTTAAACTACACTGCGCACTGTAGTTGGCTTCAAATGCGAACGAACCAAGTTGGGACAACATTAGAATGAAATAACTCCCTCCCCCTCCCCCTCCCCCCACACGCATACACGCGAGAACAGACCACAGCAGCAAACATGAATATAAACAAAATATTATTCAGCAAAGTTGGGGAGGTGATGAAAAATGGGAACAGTGGATTGAACATGCAGCAAGGAGCAAGTCAGTTGTTAAGCGGGAAGAAATTAATATACATTAGTAAACCAACTCATGGAGGTTTCATATACTGGAAGTGCAGGGAACTCATACACACAGTAAAAAAGAAAACGAAAAGGTGCGCAAGATACTTGGACATTAATCATGACTTTTCTCGAGCCGCATTAGTAGGTGTACCCAAAACGAGTTACGACCCCAAGAACAACATTTTCTACATTCAAATGGATAATGAAGAGTGGGCAGGTAACTTTGAAAAAAATGCTTGCACATGTATACTTGCGTGGGCAGCCATGTTCCTCGCACAAATGTGCAAACATGGGAAAAGATACTTTGCATACGAATAGAGCTGCTCCATTTGGACGGTGCGCTGGGTGACTAACACTCTCGATTGCGACAACATATGCATTGCTGCTTCGCCACGCCCCGGGGGCACGCGCCGTGATAGACCTGCCATATTTTAATTGAGAGAGACATAGTAATAATGCGCCGCATTAGTGTATGGCCGCCTGCCACGTGCAGAGGAGGCCAGCCTAACTTTTTCCCCTTGTTCCTCATTTGTATCCCCCGCACACTCACACATTTCACCTGCAGGCATTGCCAGCAAAATGATGCTGAACATATCGATGAACATTTTATTTTACCTGCACATATCCTTTTGGATTTATTTTATATACTATCGAATGCTGGTCAACAACAAGAATAATGTGTTTAGTAAGTGGAAGACTGACGAATGAGAAGGGGCGCGTCGCCATATGGGAACGAGTAACATGCATAAAAGTTCAGCGGAGGATATGTACACCTATTCTTGTGTGTGTATCCCCCCTGTGTGCTGTTTTCCGTACCCATCGATGTGACCAATTTTTACGTTTTGTTGGATGTGCCCTCCACGACTGTTTACATCCTTTGGCGACAATTCAACCGAATGGGGGAAAGCGGAGATGACCGCGTAAATACCCACACGTGTACATATGGCACATTACTAGTGTTGTTGGACCGCCACACTGCAGTGTTACATTGTGTACATATTTTGCTTTTTTTTTTTTTTTTTTTATCGTCAAACGTAAACCGCGCGAAATGATTAACATGAAGTGAGGCTTTAAAACTTTTTAAATGAATGCTCTTGCAGTCGCTATGTATATATGTACATGTGTGAGCATGTGGAGGGATTCCACACCATGTTGCCACCGCTTGTGGACAATTAAGAACAGGAGTTCGCTAAACAATAGGAATACTGCTTCAACAACATGTGAATTGCTGCTCCATTTTTTTTTTTTTTTTGCGGGAGCATTAACTTCATGCATGTGCTGGACACAGCTGATTGCCATCACATCCATGTGTGAAATTTTGCTTGCTGGAAGAGGAGGGTTTGGTAACTGCTCATACCGTGAGCGTTGATCACCGCGTCGCAATCGCATATCGTAAAATAAAATTTGTTAAGATTTGCAAAAGGGGGCCAATTAAAAATCAGAGAGTTGATATACACATTGCACGAAGGCGTAAGTGGAAAAAAAAAAAAAAGGTGCACAATACAGATAAAAGGTACAGGTACACATGCACGTGCGCACACGCAGACATGCATGCGGGATGTACATATATATATATTTATACATAAACACATATACAATAATACAAAAAATTGGACTGTGGCAGGGGCAGAGGTTTGAACATTAAAACTAAAGCTTAAAATTGTGGCGCTACACATACATGCATAAATATGTATATGCATACGTATACGTAACGCGTAGGGGGAGGGGAAAAAAAAAAAAAGGGGGAGAAACTAGTAACCAGCCAAATGGCATAAGGGGAAGGGCTGCATGTTTACACATTACGTCAGGCATATGGACATATGTGCAGACGCACGTATAGGTGGAAGCGCTAAGGGAATTCCCCCCCCTGTCCACCGACACACATATATATATATACATGCACATATATATATATACGCACGCACATGCTCCCAATTCAGCCTTGCAACTGCCAGTGCCCATTGTGTACGCGCACCCCAAGTCTGAACAGGAAAGTCCCAGAACACGGTTGTGTGTACCTGCTGGAATGGCAGGAACGTGGCGCGCTCGCAGGGGGCAAAAGGGAAGGAAGAGAGAGTGCGCGCCCATCCAGCATACAGTCAAGTCTGAACTTGCACACATTTTTTTTTTTCGCGCGCAAAAAAAAATATTATATATATATATAAAGCTATACAGAAAATTAAAACTCATTACTACTTTGACATGTGAAATTTAAAAAAAAAATTCTTCGCTGTTCATGGGATATTTGTACACACACCCATATGTGCTCACATTGCTCACATTGCTAACATCGCTTGGGAGAGACATGGCACGTGGGCTTCCTGTGGTTGGACTGATCTTCGGATTGCACCTATGCATTGTGCGTGGATGGTACAGGACAATAATTAAAATTATATTCAACAAAATGAACCCAAACTTTAAAAAGGACAAGGAAAAGGAAAAAAATCCCTGAATATATATAAAAGGCTTGAAAAAGAATTTCCTTCAAGTAATATAAATGGTGAGATGTGTACATATATTCGGTTGACTGTTGCTTCTTCTGTGCGCGATTTCTCTCACGCGCCGCTTCTCCCACGTGTGCACACACTTTTAGGCTTCTTCTCCCGTAAGGTCACACACACGCGTGAAGATTGTGAAGATTGTGCAGAGAGAGAGTGGGCTTTTCTCGAAATGGAAAATCAACGCTTCCTCTCACATCACACTGTGCTTTCTTCCCTTTCTCACAGTTCCTTCCATACCATATATTTCTCCCTTTGCTTTGTGCCCCCCCCCACGGTTCTCAGATGCTGCTCTTCTTCCTCTTCCTCTTGCCTTGCCCTTCATCATTTAGTGTTGTATTGGTGGTGTCAAAATCTTCCCCCGTCTGGGTATCCATGTTGGCGCACATATAGTCCGACATGTACTCCGTCTTGGAGGACTTGGCTGTTTTGTTCATGTCAGATAAATTATAATTTGCTGCGTTCTTGCTGCTCTGCTTAAAGCGTACATTGGCATTCCTCTTCTTAATGCACTCCTTGTGAATTTTTAAAGCTTCATTATAGACTCCGAAATCTTCTGCCAGCTGCCACAGCATGGATAGGTTGAAGTACGGCAAGTAACTAATAGACAATGGGGGATTTTTATTTTTCATTATAACTTTACATTCTTCATTATACTTGTAGGCCTTCCTCAATAATTTGAGCATCCTCTTCCTACCCTCTGTCCCAAGGGTCCTGCAAAGTCCAGGCTTCCTATTCTCATCATTGTTCGTATTATCACTTCCTGTTTTACTTTCCTCCGAATAACTAGCGCTTTTCATTTCTTTCTTTATTTTTACATTTCCATTTCTCTTAATCGGCATAACGCCTCCTCCCTTTGTGGACATGATCATGTTACTGTCGCAACTCGTGATGTCCGACCTCTCCCTTCTCAAGTCTGATTCGTCTACCAGGATGTAGTCTGAAATATCATCAAAGCTGCTGTGCAATTCGTTTGGGAAATCTCCAACGGAGAAGAAGGGAGACTCTTCAATGGAGGAGATGTCTGTGTTCGTTTCGAACTGCAGGTCGGAGTACCTCATCGTGTGCATTGACATGTTTTCTTCGTTTTTCAAATTGAGTAGCTCCATCTTGTCCTCGATTTGGGGAAAAGTCACAAAAGAAAAAAAAAAAAAAAAAAAAAAAGGGGCAAAAGAGCAGGCACGAAACAGAAGGAACAAACGTGCACTACGCGTTGTAAAGTTAAAAGTTGGGCAAAACACCTCTTCTTTGCAACGTTTTGTGCTCAACTACTCCTTTTTCTGTTTGCTTTGCAGTAGGTTTTGCACGAGCTGCTCCTTTTTTTTTTTTTTTTTCTCCTTTGGAACAATTATCACAAACTTTAAAAGCTACAATATGTAAAGCAGTAGGGTTACTCGCTACACGGTACACACCCACGGTACACTTTTTATATAGCGCCTACCCAGCTGTGTGTAATGTCCTACGCGCATACATGCACTTATTAACACATGTATGTTATGGACGTTCGCAGGGGGTATGTAGATACAAAGATCCCTCACACATACGAAAGCAACGATATTGTCATAAAAAAAAAAAAAGGCTGCGTATTATTCGCGTCGTTAATTAGGGTTTTTTTTTTTTTTTTTTTTTTTTTTTTTTAATTCGCGACAAAGTGAGTAAAGGGCTTATTAATTATGAAAAGGGGGAAATAAATAAATATACGACTGAGTGAGTGGATGAATACGAGAGTGAATAATTTATGTAGGAAAATATATATGCATGAGCGGGTGGAAACAATTTTAAAACGCTGTTAAAAAAATAAATTCACAGCAGAACAAAGGGGGGAAAAAATTAAAATGGATTAATACATCCTCTGTGTTTAAAAAAAAAAAAAATTGTACAAAAAATGGTGTGGAGGAATGCGCTCTCTTTAATATGCATATATGCAGGTACCACTTGTACAAGAAGTGGTTAATGGTTCACACTGCGGACGGTGTATTCGCTGCGGCGAAATGACCATTCACAACGGAGCAGTAAAACTTGTCACGAAGGCCCGGCGTACACGTTTATTACAAGGGGATGGTTATATTTATTACACCATAAAAAGAATTAACGCACTAGGGTTTCCCTTTAAATTTCGCAGTTACCCCTTTGCAGCCACAAAAAAATGCACATATAAAAACAACGAGATACAAGAGCACTCATAAATTTAAACATATACAAAGTGCCTGTGCACTACATTACGTGCGTGTCCATACCAACGGGCAGTCGTGCGTCCACGTCGGTGTTAACACTGATGTGTATAAGAGAACCACGAGCGCTGTGCACGTTGCTGCGTTGGGGCACAATGGGGGAGGGGAAAGGACATTACATCGCTTAAAAATAAGCCACAAAAATTTGCACATAAAGCATACATATATATACGTTTAAACGTGTACGTGCAAAGGGCACACAACTGAATATTCATATGTCACACGTTGAAAGAACAACTCCCCTTGCAATTGTGTGCGTTAGAAAGCATATAAACGCAGGTGTGTTGTATACTGTACAAACATATATTTAACCCGTATATGGGCTTACACCACCGTGTCACCACGCGCCAATTTAAACAAATACAGGACGAGAGGTAAATCGTGGGGCGAAAAGTAACAAATAAATAATGCAAAATGCATGTTAAAAATGTTAACGCTGAAACACTCTCACGCGCAAAAACAACAAAAGTTCCACACTTGCGCGCACAAGCGCTGCTCATAACAAGGAGTCAAAATTTTCGAGAAAATTATTTTCACGATTTTTAAAGAGCAAAAATAGAGGGTCACAATACTACACGCATATGCATATTATACGTGCATATACATATATGCTATATTTTTTCCTTTTTTTGAAGGGCGCCAAGTGGTGGACGGATAAAACAAAGGGAAATGTTCAACACGGGGCGTGAATTCGAAGTGGCCTCTGCGCGCATGTACCTGTGCATATGTGCAAAACTACACACGAGCTGATGTGCCTTACTTCGTTAAAAAAGAGAAAGGTGTAGAGAGCGTATGACAGTGAGCACACTTGTTATGCACACGCAGAGAGGGAGAAGTAGGACAATTAACAAAAGCTATCACAAAATTATATTAAAAAGAATTATAAATCAAATAAAGGGGGAAAAAAAAATGCATCATAAAAAGCACGTAGACATACAACTACAGCTTATTTTAATTAAATTCGATTAAAACTGCATACGTGCATAAGGACAAGCGTATGCAAGCATATACAGAAGCATACATAGAACCACACATATCAACACAATTGTGTGTCTTTTTTTTTTTTATTTTTTTTATTTTTACTCTTTCACAATGGGAGATAAAAAGAGAAATTTAAAAAAAAAAAAAAAAAAAAAATGTGTGCAACACAGTGTTGTGCATATATATGGTTAGACAATGATCATATATATATATATTTTTTAATTCTTTGCATGAACTAACTCATGCGTACCTACAAGTGCACATGCGATACGCAGGTATACATATATGTACACTGGGAAAACGCGCTGGCGAAATGAAAGCGTATGCAATGGTTTTTGCATGGACTGCTGCTGCGCGCGCGCTGGAACAACATTCAGTGAGAACAAAAATATTAAATGTGCAATATAAAATATACAATAAAAAAACAAAACTAAACAACTGCAACTGCAATGACAAGCGGCACACGATTCACTTCAGACAAAGTGCTTGCTTCTTTCGTTTGTTGCTCCACGTTATTTATTCCCTCTTAGCATGCGTCAACGCACGTAGGCGGGATTTGTCCAACGAGCACGTCACGTGAAAGTGTATCTATACACGTACTAGTTTGTACAAATTGTGTGCACTGATGCGATTCATGCAAATATATATAGGGGTCTCTTTTTTAGCATCGCTTGGCGAATCGCTCTTGTTAATTCGTTCGCTTTGTTGAGACACCGTGGCACGATAACACACAAGGGGAGCTAATGCATGCTCGGGTGAACGTATATCCTCGCGGGTATGCACACAACCACACAAGCAACTGTACAGGAACACGCTGCGCGTTGCGCAGTTCGGCACAACTGGCAGGCGTGTTAGCGGGGAGCACAAGTCCACTTGCGATCTTTGCTCAAGACGCACGAGCAGGTACACACACGGAGGCAGTCACTTTATATGTTTCTATATGTACGTATACGTATGTATATGTATGCATATACAAATGTGTATGTACATATATCTGCGTACACGGCACGGCCTTGCCCAAGGCACGCAATTCACATCACATGGACACAAGCACAAGTGGTTAAAGGTGTAAACAGTTCGACATGTATGTCCTTCAGCGTATGCACATACGTATATTTATATCTTTCGTTTTGACCTTTTCCTCTTTGCGATCTATTGCTTGTGTTTTTTTTTTTTTTTTTCTCTGTTTTTCCCCTTGCTTTTGTACGTAAGCATATGTACATTTGGTAATAAAACGGGCACTGGTGGAATAAACGAAATACGCTTTAAAAAAAAGTATGACACGTAATGGGGTTTGGAATTTACTTTTTTTCCAAGCTTGGAAAACTTTGCGCTTCCGTTTCACGATCGCGTCGAGTTCGCTCTTGCGTTTTCGTTTGCTTTTATTTTTTTTCACTCACGGGTGGGGGACAATGCAGCAAAAAATTCACGTGCTCGATTGAAATAAGGAAAAGGGGATGCTTACAAGTGAACAGGTGGCATGCACCCAGGCAATAGGTCGAGCGGTTATACGCGCCAATATGCAAATGAGCATATACGCACAGCTCAGATATACAGCAAAGCTCATGTAATATGCAAAGCACAGCTATACAAATTCGTACATAAGCACAAAGCATACCTCGCGTATGAAAACTACGCCATGTAAACATTACATACGTAGCTGCATACGCGCAGGAGAAATGCGTTCATGCTTTCCCGCACGAGCGTCCGCTTATGCGCAGTTGAAGTACATGTATAATTAATTATAGACAACTTCATGCATACGTGTCAACGCATGTATTAAAATGTATACAATATGGGGGAAAAAATTAACAAAGGCAGAAATATTTGAACAATACGCAATTTAAAAAAAAATTGCTTAAATTTGTAAATAATAAAAAAAAAAAAACGTAAAAGAATTTAAATGAATTGGCTGACTGGAGATTCGCGTTTTAAAAGTAGGAATTAGCAAAAACGTTTGCAAATAAAAAATCATTGCATTTCCCTAGAGTATATAATAATATATAACAATGCTCAAAAAGGAATTTTTTGAAAATAAAAACAATGGCAACTTATGTATGGAAATATGGATACAGGCTAAAATAAGTGGAAATAAAAAAAAATAATATGACATAAATAGATGTTATATGCGAAAAGGGTTATATTTAACATGATAAATTTGATCATTATAACCTTATTATGTGCTAATTTTACATGTATATATGGAGGTCTCATATTTTAAATTTTGTACTTTTTTAATATATATTGCCCTATGTTTTTAAGCATAAACAAAAGCAAACGGCACAGGACGGCAATAAATAAGTATAAAGCAAAATTGTAAAAAAATGAAAAAAAATATATCAACTCTGTGAGATAAGCACCACTACTACCCCCCCTTGACAATGTCTCTTGTTCATGTAAAATTTTTATTTTACTTTTATAAAAAAAATTTTATTTTTCTCAAAAGTGTATAAAATGAATACAGAAATGGTAAAACATACATTTGGGCAAAAATGACACTTATGCGTAAATTTATTATAACGAACAGGTGAATTTGGGAAAAAATTATTATTCTATAAATTTATATATCATGGGCACAAAAAGATCAAAGTTATTACTTTTTGTTTACTATTTTTTTTTTTTTTTCTCTCTCAAGAGGGGGGGCCGGGTATATATATACATATTATATAATATATACCCAGGTTACAAAATATATAATTTAAATATTTCGCTTGAAAGGGGATGTATAATATGACAAAAAGTATATAAGAAACAAGTGAATGGACAACATAAACTGTATTTGTATGTATATATAAAGGTTACGTCAACAATATTTACGATTAATTATAAATACGAATGGTTATATATTTTTATGTATTTATTATGAAAGCTGTCTCATCACATGTACATAATATATA